GCGTGCGTGTGTTTGAGTGTGTGTGTGCGTGTGTCTTAGTGCGTGTGTGTGCGTGTGTTTGAGTGTGTTTGTGCGTGTGTGCGTGTGTGTGCGTGCCGGGAAAGGTCCTGGCAAGGATTATTCAACATCGCTTTGCCAGGAACGCTGAGGAGAGGCTTGCGGAGCCCCAATGCGGTTTCAGGAAAGGGCGGTCCTGCACAGATGCCATATTTTCTGTCCGTCTGCTACAGCAGTGGTGTAGGGAATTCCAACAAGACCTACATCTCTGCTTTATTGACCTGGTCAAGGCCTATGATACCATCAGTAGGCCTGGGCTCTGGGTCGTTCTTCGTGCTTTTGGAGTACCTGACCCTCTGCTCAGGATCATTAAGGACCTTCATGATGGCGAGCGGGCCCGGGTAAAACTACGTGGCCGGCAGTCAGAGCCATTCCCTGTACACCTTGGGGTGCGACAGGGATGTCCTCTGGCTCCCACATTATTTAACATCTATTTTGACCACGTAGTTCGTGAAGCCTTCAATAGCTGTACCGGGGGAATCTCCATATGGTACAGATATAATGGGAGGCTGATCGATGCCCGGGTGCGGTCAATTGATGGCTCCCTATTGCTCAACTACGTTATGTATGCTGATGATTTGGTAATAGCTGCTCATTCCGAGGAGGAGTTGGAGACGCTGCTGCTGAGACTGGAGCGTGCCACTAAGAGATGGGGCCTTACCATCAGCCCCACCAAAACTAAGCACCTGCCTGGGTATTTTGTACCATCGGACACTCCACCACCACAACTCCCAATCGGTGATGGGGCAGTTGTGGAGAGAGTGGAGAGTTTCCCATACCTGGGCAGTGTGCTTATGACCGGCTCCAGTTTAACAGCAGAGGTCTCACTCCGAATCAGTCGAGCGGCAATATCTTTTCATCGGCTGCGTAACGCTGTGTGGAAGCTACCTGGTTTGTCGCTCCGCACTAAGCTTCAGGTCTTCTCGGCCACGGTCATTCCCTCCCTTCTCTATGCTTGCGAAACGTGGACCCCCCTAATGGAACATCTTCGCCGGTTAGAAACATTTAGGCTGGCCTGCCTACGATCCATCCTGGGTTTAACCACACTGGATTGTGTGAGGAGCTCACAAATCCTTGAAAGATCTGGGCAAGGTCCCATCGGTGAGCTCCTCCGGCGGGGAAGGCTGCGATGGCTGGGTCATGTAGCCCGCATGCCCAGCCACTGCATGCCGAAACAGCTTTTGTTCGGCCGGATTAAGGGGGCTAAGCGGGCGCGGCACGGGCTAGAGAAGAGATGGAGTGTTGTGGTACGGGAGGACGTGGAGCTGAGTGGACTTGCCGATGACCGGTACCAGCGGTGTCAAGATCGGCCTCTGTGGAGGAGGCTCGTGAAGGATGCTACTGGGCAGTTGGAGGCAGTCGCCCTCCAACAACAACGGAGGGCGGAGGAGCGACGCTCAGAACAACGAGCGGAGTGCCGGGTGGCTAAAGCACAGCAGGTTGGCACAGTAGGGGGCACAGGTGGTGCATCAGCCAGTCATCTCAGTCAGTCGACCCGTGGCACTTGGGTCTGCCCCGTGACCTCCTGCCAGCAGGCGTTCAACACTTCACGTGGCCTCAGGGTGCACATAGCCTGGCACAAGCGTCGTGGTGACGTCACCGCCACTTAGTGGCGAATGGCGGTTGTTGTTGTGTGTGTGTATGTGTGTGTCTGTGTGTGTGTGTGTGCGCGTGTGTGTGTGTGTGTGTGTGCGCGTGTGTGTGTGTGTGTGTTTGAGTGTGTGTGTTTGAGTGTGTGTGTGCGCGTCTGTGTGTGTGCGTGTGTTTGAGTGTGTGTGTGTGTGCGCGTCTGTGTGTGTGTGTGCATGTCTTTGAGTGTGTGTGTGTGCGTGTGTGTGTGCGTGTGTTTGTGTGTGTGTGTGTGCGTGTGTTTGAGTGTGTGTGTGTGCGTGTGCGTGTGTTTGAGTGTGTGTGTGTGTGTGTGTTTGAGTGTGTGTGTGCGTGTGTTTGAGTGTGTGTGTGTGTGCGCGTCTGTGTGTGTGTGTGCATGTCTTTGAGTGTGTGTGTGTGTGCGTGTGTGTGTGCGTGTGTTTGAGTGTGTGCGTGTGTTTGTGTGTGTGTGTGTGTGCGTGTGTTTGAGTGTGTGTGTGTGTGCGTGTGTTTGAGTGTGTGTGTGTGTGCGTGTGTTTGAGTGTGTGTGTGTGTGCGTGTGTTTGAGTGTGTGTGTGTGTGCGCGTCTGTGTGTGTGTGTGCATGTCTTTGAGTGTGTGTGTGTGTGCGTGTGTGTGTGCGTGTGTTTGAGTGTGTGTGTGTGTGCGTGTGTGTGTGTGTGTGCGTGTGTGTGTGCGTGTGTTTGAGTGTGTGTGTGTGTGCGTGTGTGTGTGTGTGTTTGAGTGTGTGTGTGTGCGTGTGTGTGTGTGTGCGTGTGTTTGAGTGTGTGTGTGTGTGCGTGTGTTTGAGTGTGTGTGTGTGTGCGTGTGTTTGAGTGTGTGTGTGTGTGTGCGTGTGTTTGAGTGTGTGTGTGTGTGCGCGTCTGTGTGTGTGTGTGCGTCTGTGTGTGTGTGTGTGCGTGTGTGCGTGTGTTTGAGTGTGTGTGTGTGTGCGCGTCTGTGTGTGTGTGTGCGTGTGTGTGTGCGTGTGTTTGAGTGTGTGTGTGTGTGCGCGTCTGTGTGTGTGTGCGTGTGTTTGAGTGTGTGTGTGTGTGCGCGTCTGTGTGTGTGTGTGTGTGTGCGTGTGTGCGTGTGTTTGAGTGTGTGTGTGTGTGCGTGTGTTTGAGTGTGTGTGTGTGTGTGTGCGCGTCTGTGTGTGTGTGTGTGTGTGTTTGAGTGTGTGTGTGTGTGCGTGTGTTTGAGTGTGTGTGTGTGTGCGCGTCTGTGTGTGTGTGTGTGCGCGTCTGTGTGTGCGTGTGTGTGTGTGTTTGAGTGTGTGTGTGCGTGTGTGTTTGAGTGTGTGTGTGCGTGTGTTTGAGTGTGTGTGTGTGTGTGTGTTTGAGTGTGTGTGTGCGTGTGTTTGAGTGTGTGTGTGTGTGTGTTTGAGTGTGTGTGTGCGTGTGTTTGAGTGTGTGTGTGTGTGTGTGTTTGAGTGTGTGTGTGCGTGTGTTTGAGTGTGTGTGTGTGCGCGTCTGTGTGTGTGTGTGCATGTCTTTGAGTGTGTGTGTGTGTGCGTGTGTTTGAGTGTGTGTGTGCGTGTGTTTGAGTGTGTGTGTGTGCGCGTCTGTGTGTGTGTGTGCATGTCTTTGAGTGTGTGTGTGTGTGCGTGTGTTTGAGTGTGTGTGTGTGTGCGCGTCTGTGTGTGTGTGTGCGTGTGTTTGAGTGTGTGTGTGTGCGTGTGTTTGAGTGTGTGTGTGTGCGTGTGTGTGTGTTTGAGTGTGTGTGTGTGTGTGCGTGTGTGTGTGTGCGTGTTTGAGTGTGTGTGTGTGTGTGCGTGTGTGTGTGCGTGTGTGTGTGTGCTGCAGGGTGAGATGGTGAACAACATTGAGCACAATGTGGAGAACTCTGTGGACTACGTGGGCCAGGCCAAGGAGCAGACTAAGAAGGCCGTCAAGATGCAGACCAAGACACGTAAGGTGAGACGGCCACCTGACTACTAGCACACTCACTCACTAGTACACTCACTCACTAGCACACTCACTAGTACACTCACTCACTAGTACACTCACTAGTACACTCACTCACTAGTACACTCACTAGTACACTCACTAGTACACTCACTCATTAACACACTCACTAGTACACTCACTAGTACACTCACTAGTACACTCACTAGTACACTCACTAGTACACTCACTAGCACACTCACTCACTAGTACACTCACTAGTACACTCACTCACTAGTACACTCACTAGTACACTCACTCACTAGTACACTCACTAGTACACTCACTAGTACACTCACTCATTAACACACTCACTAGTACACTCACTAGTACACTCACTAGTACACTCACTAGTACACTCACTAGTACACTCACTAGCACACTCACTCACTAGTACACTCACTAGTACACTCACTAGTACACTCACTAGTACACTCACTCACTAGTACACTCACTAGCACACTCACTCACTAGTACACTCACTCACTAGCACACTCACTCACTAGCACACTCACTCACTAGTACACTCACTAGTACACTCACTCACTAGTACACTCACTAGTGCACTCACTCACTAGTACACTCACTAGTACACTCACTCATTAACACACCCACTAGTACACTCACTAGTGCACTCACTAGTACACTCACTCACTAGTACACTCACTAGTGCACTCACTCACTAGTACACTCACTCACTAGTACACTCACTCACTAGTACACTCACTAGTACACTCACTCACTAGTACACTCACTAGTACACTCACTAGTACACTCACTCATTAACACACTCACTCATTAACACACTCACTAGTACACTCACTAGTACACTCACTAGTACACTCACTCATTAACACACTCACTCATTAACACACTCACTAGTACACTCACTAGTACACTCACTAGCACACTCACTAGTACACTCACTAGTACACTCACTAGTACACTCACTCATTAACACACTCACTCATTAACACACTCACTAGTACACTCACTAGTACACTCACTAGTACACTCACTCATTAACACACTCACTCATTAACACACTCACTAGTACACTCACTAGTACACTCACTAGTACACTCACTCATTAACACACTCACTAGTACACCCACTAGTACACTCACTAGTGCACTCACTAGTACACTCACTTGTACACTCACTAGTACACTCACTCACTAGTACACTCACTAGTACACTCACTAGTACACTCACTAGTACACTCACTAGTACACTCACTAGTACACCCACTAGTACACTCACTTGTACACTCACTAGCACACTCACTCACTAGTACACCCACTAGTACACTCACTAGCACACTCACTAGCACACTCACTAGTACACTCACTCACTAGTACACTCACTAGTACACTCACTAGTGCACTCACTCACTAGTACACTCACTCACTCGTACACTCACTCACTAGTACACTCACTAGTACACTCACTCACTAGTACACTCACTAGTACACTCACTAGTACACTCACTAGTACACTCACTCACTCGTACACTCACTCACTAGTACACTCACTAGTACACTCACTCACTAGTACACTCACTAGTACACTCACTAGTACACTCACTAGTACACTCACTCACTAGTACACTCACTAGTACACTCACTAGTACACTCACTAGTACACTCACTCACTAGTACACTCACTCACTAGTACACTCACTCACTAGTACACTCACTAGTGCACTCACTCACTAGTACACTCACTAGTACACTCACTAGTACACTCACTCACTAGTACACTCACTAGCACACTCACTAGTACACTCACTCACTAGTACACTCACTAGTGCACTCACTCACTAGTACACTCACTCACTAGTACACTCACTCACTAGTACACTCACTAGTACACTCACTCACTAGTACACTCACTAGTACACTCACTAGTACACTCACTCATTAACACACTCACTCATTAACACACTCACTAGTACACTCACTAGTACACTCACTAGTACACTCACTCATTAACACACTCACTCATTAACACACTCACTAGTACACTCACTAGTACACTCACTAGCACACTCACTAGTACACTCACTAGTACACTCACTAGTACACTCACTCATTAACACACTCACTCATTAACACACTCACTAGTACACTCACTAGTACACTCACTAGTACACTCACTCATTAACACACTCACTCATTAACACACTCACTAGTACACTCACTAGTACACTCACTAGTACACTCACTCATTAACACACTCACTAGTACACCCACTAGTACACTCACTAGTGCACTCACTAGTACACTCACTTGTACACTCACTAGTACACTCACTCACTAGTACACTCACTAGTACACTCACTAGCACACTCACTAGTACACTCACTAGTACACTCACTAGTACACTCACTAGTACACCCACTAGTACACTCACTTGTACACTCACTAGCACACTCACTCACTAGTACACCCACTAGTACACTCACTAGCACACTCACTAGCACACTCACTAGTACACTCACTCACTAGTACACTCACTAGTACACTCACTAGTGCACTCACTCACTAGTACACTCACTCACTCGTACACTCACTCACTAGTACACTCACTCACTAGTACACTCACTCATTAACACACTCACTAGTACACTCACTAGCACACTCACTAGTACACTCACTAGTACACTCACTAGTACACTCACTCACTAGTACACTCACTAGTACACTCACTTACTAGTACACTCACTAGTACACTCACTAGTACACTCACTCACTAGTACACTCACTCACTAGTACACTCACTAGTACACTCACTAGTGCACTCACTCACTAGTACACTCACTCACTCGTACACTCACTCACTAGTACACTCACTCACTAGTACACTCACTCATTAACACACTCACTAGTACACTCACTAGCACACTCACTAGTACACTCACTAGTACACTCACTAGTACACTCACTCACTAGTACACTCACTAGTACACTCACTTACTAGTACACTCACTAGTACACTCACTAGTACACTCACTCACTAGTACACTCACTCACTAGTACACTCACTAGTACACTCACTAGTGCACTCACTAGTGCACTCACTAGTACACTCACACATTAACACACTCACTAGTACACTCACTAGTACACTCACTAGCACACTCACTAGTACACTGACTAGTACACTCACTCACTAGTACACTCACTAGTACACTCACTAGTACACTCACTAGTACACTCACTCATTAACACACTCACTAGTACACTCACTCATTAACACACTCACTAGTACACCCACTAGTACACTCACTCACTAGCTATCAACGAAGATTCAATCTCCATTTGAAGCTTTGCCGTGACTGCAGGTTATCTATCCTGTTGAGTCACCACGTCGGTAGCACGGCAAAAACCTTGGATTGCGAGTAGCTTGGTACAGTATGTACCCTTTGTCTGCCGGGTGTCACGTGATCACAGCCGAGCCAATGGTTCCTCTCTCTCGCTGCGGGATTGTGGGTAATCGTCATCTCCCAAGCTCGGTCTCAGTCGTAATAGTGAACATCCGTGCGAGCGTTTGCTGTTTACCACAGTACTATAGTGTTGTGACCACGTGTGTACTGTTTACTATAGTACTATAGTGTTGTGACCACGTGTATACTGTTTACTATAGTACTATAGTGTTGTGACCACGTGTATACTGTTTACTATAGTACTATAGTGTTGTGACCACGTGTATACTGTTTACTACAGTACTATAGTGTTGTGACCACGTGTATACTGTTTACTATAGTACTATAGTGTTGTGACCACGTGTATACTGTTTACTACAGTACTATAGTGTTGTGACCACGTGTGTACTGTTTACTATAGTACTATAGTGTTGTGACCACGTGTGTACTGTTTACTATAGTACTATAGTGTTGTGACTACGTGTATACTGTTCACTATAGTACTATAGTGTTGTGACCACGTGTATACTGTTTACTATAGTACTATAGTGTTGTGACCACGTGTGTACTGTTTACTATAGTACTATAGTGTTGTGACCATGTGTATACTGTTTACTATAGTACTATAGTGTTGTGACCACGTGTATACTGTTTACTATAGTACTATAGTGTTGTGACCACGTGTATACTGTTTACTATAGTACTATAGTGTTGTGACCACGTGTGTACTGTTTACTATAGTACTATAGTGTTGTGACCACGTGTATACTGTTTACTATAGTACTATAGTGTTGTGACCACGTGTATACTGTTTACTACAGTACTATAGTGTTGTGACCACGTATATACTGTTTACTATAGTACTATAGTGTTGTGACCACGTATATACTGTTTACTACAGTACTATAGTGTTGTGACTACGTGTATACTGTTTACTATAGTACTATAGTGTTGTAACCACGTGTATACTATTTACTATAGTACTATAGTGTTGTGACTACGTGTATACTGTTTACTACAGTACTATAGTGTTGTGACTACGTGTATACTGTTTACTACAGTACTATAGTGTTGTAACCACGTGTATACTGTTTACTATAGTACTATAGTGTTGTTACCACGTGTATACTGTTTACTATAGTACTATAGTGTTGTGACCACGTGTATACTGTTTACTACAGTACTATAGTGTTGTGACCACGTGTATACTGTTTACTATAGTACTATAGTGTTGTGACCACGTGTATACTGTTTACTATAGTACTATAGTGTTGTGACCACGTGTATACTGTTTACTATAGTACTATAGTGTTGTGACCATGTGTGTACTGTATACTACAGTACTATAGTGTTGTGACCACGTGTGTACTGTTTACTATAGTACTATAGTGTTGTGACCACGTGTATACTGTTTACTATAGTACTATAGTGTTGTGACCACGTGTATACTGTTTACTACAGTACTATAGTGTTGTGACCACGTGTATACTGTTTACTATAGTACTATAGTGTTGTGACCACGTGTATACTGTTTACTACAGTACTATAGTGTTGTGACCACGTATATACTGTTTACTATAGTACTATAGTGTTGTGACCACGTATATACTGTTTACTACAGTACTATAGTGTTGTGACC